TGGTAGACTTCTAATTACTATCTTAATCTCACTACTCGTTATTGGTCTGTCAGGATTTCTTTCTGTCTTCTGATTCAAGGTTGGGGAAGTGAATGTTCTAAAAATTCATCCATTTTTCTCTAGATTGTCCAGTTTGTGTGCATAGAGTTGTTCATAATAGTCTCAGATGATCATTTAATTTCCATCATTCCAGTTGTAATGTCTCCATTTTCATTTCTGATTGAGCTAATTTGAATCTTTTCTCTTTGTTTCTTTATTCATCTAGCTAGTGACCTATAAATTTTGTTAATCTATTGAAAGATAAACAAAAAACCAGAACCAGCTTTTCAAAGAACCAACTTTTTGTTTCATTGATCCTTTGTATTACCTTTTTAATTTCAATTTCATTTAATTCTGCTCTGATTTTTGTTTTCTTTTCTTCTGCTTAAGATGTGATGTTAGGTTGTCAATATGTGATCTTTCAGTCTTCTTAAAGTAAGCCTTAACCAATATAAATTTTCCTCTGAGCACAGCTTTGGCTGTGTCCCAGAGGTTTTGATAAGTCGTTTCATTGTTTATTTGTTTTGAAGAATTTTTTAAAAATTGCCATCTTGATTTTATTCTTGACCCAAGGATCATTCAGGAGCAGATTATTTAACTTCCATGTTTTTGTTTCGTTTCATGAGTTCTTCTTGGAGTTGATTTCTAGTTTTATTCCACTATGGTCTGAGAAGGTATTTTATATGATTTTAATTTTTTTGAATTTATTGAGATTTGATTTGTGACCTAATATATGGTCTATTTTGGAGAATGTTTCATGTGCTGTTGAGAAAGATGTAGTTTCGGGGTGGAATGTTCTTTGGATGTCTGTTAGTTCCATTTGTTCTTGGGGTCTGGTTTGACTACAATGTTCCTTTGTTGACTTTCTGCCTTGATCTGTCTTTTGCTGTCAGTAAAGTGTTGAAGTCTCCCACTATTATTGTATTGTTGTCTGTCTCTTTTTTTTGATTAAGTAGAATTTGTTTTATAAAGCTGGGGCCTCTGATGTTAGGCACATATACACTTAAGATTGTTATATCTTCTCATTTGATTGATTTCTTAATGTTATATAAAACCATCTTTGTCTTTTTATACATTTGTTAATTTAAAGTGTGTTTTATCTGATAGGAGGATGGCTACCCCTGCCCTTTTTTGGTTTCTATTTGCATGGACTATTTTCCCCCACTCCTTTACCTTGAGTCTATAGGAGTCTTCGTGAGTTAAGAGGGTCCCTTGGAGGCAGCAGATATTTGGTTTTTGTTTTGTTTTGTTTTGTTTTGATCCCTT